AACAAGTTTCTTCACTATCTGGTAGTGTTTATTTAGAAGGGTTTTTAATTACATTGTGTTATATGATAAAATGTGTTGTACAGAAACACGCTGACGAAGTTTTCAAAAATTTAAACTTATTTCCTACACCTTCGAAAAGTCCAGAAAGTAGAAGGACTTCAAGTCAAACGGTTATGAACTCACTGCTTGCATTACAAGACGTGATACAAATGCATGAGCTCCTCCCTCGCTGTTTGCAATGCCAGCAACCTGTACAAGGGCATTGGCTGCGGTGGAGTAGACCATGGCCACTGGCAAGGTAAAGCCGGTGATGCTGAGGTCCTTGATCTTGTTACAAGAAAGTTCCGTAGTTTCGTAGCTAATAGTTACAAATTATTCCAACTCCTGCTGTTAAAAATTTTCTCATTAAAAGGTTTGTGTTAAGAGTGTTTCTCAATAGTAATGAAATATTAGATACACTCACTCCGTTAGCAGTTAAGGACTTTATATTTAAATTTACAAATGTATGCGCTGCTATGACAATTTTTTAGTTATTAACTTGGCCTGGTGGGATCATCCCACGCTCCAACACTGTCGACGCGGTCGCCAGCATCGGAATCAGAAGTGTCAGAGGTTTCGTCACTTTTGAAAAGCAGTGGTAGCTAGAAGGTATAACAAATACTTTAAAGTTAGATGAAAAAAAATAATTTTGCGTTTTCCTAATATAAAAACACACGATGGTGCTAATTGATTTTTTGGAAACAAGATGACGTTTAGTTACAAGCCGCTGGAATCAAATATTCTCCTTTTTGGTTAACATCATTCACGAAGCAGCAACCAATTTGGCTTTCGATACTTATCCGTCGCTAATCTGAGCGAAGGAGACGTTTTTTCACCTCTTCCGCTTTTCTAAGAACATTATAAATTCGCAGCTGACTGAATGCAAAACGTATTCTTCAGAGCAACCTTCGCGAAAGAAACAGTTGCCACGAGGTCTACGGAAACTGGTTGGCGAGATAAAATATATAAGAAGTAATGAATGAAAACGACGGACGTACAAGCGAACGCTTGACAAAAATTTCAATGAAAGGGCCAATTCCCCGGGTGCCACGGCTTAAAATGGGTCTCCGACTTCCCGCTTGTGTTGCTGCGTCGTAAAATCCTAACTTTCCCACAAATAAAGAAGATACAATCGCCTACGCAAGTCTACTTTTGCAAAAAAAAGTCTGCGGAAGAAGTTGTCATTTCACAAAAACGAAGGAGATTATTTAGTGTGAAACATTTGATGCAACAATTTTCTAAGAAGCGGAAATCTCATTTGCTAAGCCATGGTTTTCCACATAACTCTCTGTTTTCAAACTAAAGCTACAAAATCTTTGTGGATGGAGAAGTAGGCTGATAGCCAGCAGAAAGTTTATTCCATAATTTTACTAAAAAATTTTGTAACGAGAGTAGAATAAGGTGAGACCAAGTATCCATCAATGTAAGGAAGAAAATAGTAAGTTAATTCAGCAATGATCACAGAAAAAACAGCTACGTTAAGGAAACAGTCTTTTTCCCGAAGCACAGGAATTCTTCATTTTGTTGAATTTGTCCATGCATATAGAAGAGAAAACAAACTGAGCTTTTCTGAAGACCGAGGTAGCACTGAGCTGAGCAGTCCTTGGTGACCTTTACAAACGTTCCAAGTTCCTAAGAAATCAGAATGTTTATGAAGCGACGCCAATTTCTCTCAATTTCTCCATCATGAGTAAATAAAACAGACTTTGATATTGTACTTTTCATATACTGAAGTCTTATTACATTCGTGTAACGTTTACAAACTCTTCGCTGATTTCACTCATTTCTGCAGTTGTTTGGAAAAGGATCACCTGAAAAAGTTGAAATGTTGCCTTCTTACAGCAGGTGGTCAATTTGACATGTTCAGTACCACGTGTTTTTGAAGTCGTTCCAAATTTTTTACATAAAAGAGCACACCGAAATAATAATTGTATGGTCTTGCTAGGAAGACAGCTGTTCAGAACTGCAATGAATACGTTTGCAGCATTTTCGCTGACCGATGACAGTGGATCTCGTTCTTCAGCTGAAAAAATTGCTTCGTAGCATACGGTGCTTTGGCCATCGGATTTAGAAGCGCTGTTTACTAAAGTTTTTCTCATGCAAATTGAAAATTGTTCTGGAAAACACTTCTTTCAGTGTCTGAATCGCACATGGTAGTGATTGAAGTAGTGGCGTTAAGAATATTTCTCCGATTCAGAATGTGACGAAATCTCCTCTGTTCTTCTCTTTGATAACAAATCGAATGCACCATCAGCGCTGTAGGTTTACCGGCACTGTTAAGTGGTTTTCGTAAACGCTGAATAAGGATGAGTAAGGGTTTAGTGTTGCTTTAGTTGGTTTTCTGAACAACAAGCCGTTTGGCAGCAGCATTCGCCTTGCACTTCCAATGCGATATCGTAGAAAGTCGGCGAATTTTAGCGACTACCGAAAAGTGCTGCATTTAACCTCTCCCAATAAAGCATAAACGGCCCAGATAATGTTGATTCTTTATGCCGATATGAGAAGTATTTCAATAAGAGTTTTATCACTTTCACCGTACATTGACGTACTCAGTAGAAGTTTTTTCCATTGGTGCTGATTCCACGGCAGCAGAAATAACACTACCTAAGACTTCTACTGCGGACACAATAGCGAAAAAACTTCACTGAAAAGTGCTACACAGAAAGTGCTAAAAAGTCTACATTCTCTCCCAGTAGACATTTGTAGGATTTCCTAAAGCCGTTAAGGTTTGAAAAGAAACTATTGCGTTTCTCAAAACCTCAGACATAACAGGACCTAATATGAGAACCTTCCAACGCTCTCGATTCTGTAAGGCGTTTCCTCATTTTTTGCAACAAATTCTTCACATGTGCATTTCATAGTGCTTTATTGCAGCGCTTCACTGTCAGTTTTGGTGATCAAAACGAATGGGTATCTCATCAAAAAGAAAAGTAACCGACTTTTCTGCACTGCACAAAACTGTTTCGCCGAAGATCATTTAGGAGGAATTGATTCATAGCGTTACTCGGTGTAGACTGCTGCACAGAATCGCCATGTTGTTTTTGGAATCCTCCCATTCCCCCAATTGTTTGATCTCGTAATTTCTGTCATATTACAAATTCTGTTTTTCGCCAGATGCAGGCATCAATCACAAACAAAGCTTCCGAAAACGGCGAAAATAGCAGCTGCTGGAATACAGCACTCGCGAAAAATGATGAGTCAAGTGGTGGGCACTCACCGGTTTCCTATGCGGCGGGCAATGATTGTCCACCCTTTCACAATGGAGGCAAATGACCACTATGGTACGATTTGAACTAAACTACTTCCCAGCAGAAAAATGGCACTCGGTTCGAGAATGTTGTTGATACACATAGGTTTTATAGGTGTTTAAATAATTGCTATAAAAGGACGCCATAACGAAAATGAAGAAAAATACTGATGCTTGCTATATTAACAAGAAATATCCTGGTCCAAGCGTAAAATATTCTTTCGTCTCGTTCACGAGCGATAAAACGAAGGCACCATCAGTGGTGTTTTATCTTTAGCCCTTTTATGAGTTTTTATGAACGGCGAACAGAGCTGTATAAGCAGTTCCGTGTTGAAGCAGTTCCGCGTCGTTTCAATTGATTTCGTGAGCGACGAGCTGTTTCATTACGACGTTTTCCTTTCGACTTCATCACAGTACTGCAATTATTCGGCAAATTTCTGCCAAAAAAAGAAAATATTTCAAAATTTCGAGTTTTCAGGTGAGCAGTCGTGCGAATGCTCCATGCCAATACAAATTCGATATAAGTGCCGTTTTCGTCGCACTTTTCTTACAATCCACCACCAGTCGCCCCGTTGATCGCCGAGTGTCTTCACAGCGCCCCAGTAAATCTTCCATTTCTCCTTGGCCAATCCAACAAAAGTAGTGTAGATTTTGAAGGCCCCAAAGACTCGTTAGTAACGAAATATTCCTTCTCGCGTTTTCTTGATGAACTCTGACCATCGGTTCGCTTATACTCCTGCTATGCGTTTGATATCCCGGGAAATCCAATCACCAGTGGATGTGGCCCATCGTTGGTCGTTCGTAAGTATTACTTGTTTGGACCATCATATCACTGACGATTTTGCGTATGGACGTAGGTGTTTTGTTTCTCCTCTCTCACTTCCGTGACGGAAGGTACTCCCTGCATCACTTTACTGTTTCTTTCAACTTTTAGATCATTTCTTTCGTCATGCTATGTATTGACCTGGTTTCTGACTATATCTTAAGACGGGAAAGACTATAAAAATAATAAGGTAGTCACAGAGCGTGAATGAGGCGTGTGAAACCAATCCATTAGGCATAGACATCGTTATTTCGAATTTTAATCGAAGACCAATCCTTCCACATTCGCTATCAAAGTCGGCAAGCATTCGTTGCGGTTAGTGAATGTTAGTGTTATAGGAATAACGTTATCAGCAAGACAAAGGCAGTATAACCCTTAACCATCGATTTTCACAGCGGTACTCTCTCGTTTCAGTGTTCGCACGACGTTCTCAAAGATAGAGGTAAATAATTTTATCGAGGTGGCACAGCCTTGCCTAACGCCTGAAATCTTCCATTTTTTCCTGTCGCGTGCAAGAGCAGCCCAGTGGACTTTGCTCGGGGACTCCTTGAGCATCGCATCTTTCTTCTAAGCGTTTCGTGGAAAACTCTGACCATCGGGTCGGTGGTCTTCTTGCGGTGCGTATGACATTTCGAGGAATCATGTCATTAACGGCTCTTGTCTATCGGTTATAATTCATACGAATTACGTGTCGGGCCCACCTTATCTTCGAGTGTTTGGTGCAACAGCATCTTTCATTTTTGATCGTTGACGCAGATCGGAGCTTCGGATCCCATCCCTTGCTTGCGTGAAACGGCATACTCCTAGCATCGTACTTTCGACTGCGCGTTCAATAACGTTGAGTGATTTTTCATTCTGTCTACGCAGCGACCAGGTTTCTGACGCATACGTTTACGCAGAATGTGACGTTGAGTAGAAAAGATGGGCAAGGAGTCGGGTGTTCTTTGTTCTCTTCACTACAACCTCGATTCTCTTGAAAAATCGCCAAGCCGCTCGTTCCCTTCTACTCATCTCTGGAGCTAGGTCGTTCATCATATTGATTTCCCGACCTAGATAGATATAACTAGAATATTCGGAGCGATTCGTTCCGTTGAGCGTGAAAGGTGCATGCCAAACCAATCCATTCCTCAGGAACATCGATTTTGTGAGATTTAATCGGAGACCAATCTTTCCACAAGCTTTATCAAACTTGTCAAGCATGCGTTTCGCTTGGCTAGTGTTTGGTGTTATAAGGACGATGTTATCAGCAAAGCGAAGTTGGTATAACTGCCGCCCGTCGATTTTCACTCCCATATTATCCCATTCCAATGTTGGCATGACGTTCTGAAGGGTGTCGGTAAATAATTTTGGGGAGGATGTAACGCCTTGCCTAACTACTCTTTTGACATCAATGTTAATATCGTTGTAGAATGGTGAAACCTTGGTTGTGAAATTTTTGTACAGGTCACGGAGAATCTTTATGTGCTGAGTAGGGACTTCTTGTCAATCAAGGGCTTCCATAACCGCTTCTATCTCAATTGAGTCAAAGACCTTCTTTAAATCAATGAAAGTGAGACAGAGCGGTCTTTTGTACTCTCGCGATACTACAATGAGTCGTGTTACCGTGTGGATGTGGTCCATCGTACTAAATTCTTTCGAAACCCTGCTTGCTCACTTGGCTGTCCTTCGTCTAGTGTTCTGTCAATCCTGTTTAGGATGACTCGAGTGAAAAGTTTGTAGGCGACAGACAGTAGGGAGATTGGGCCATAGTTGCCGATATCGTGTAGGTCACCCTTCATAAACAATAATACGGTCTTGCTGGTCTTCCATTGAGTAAGGGCCTCACATTCAGACAGGTAACGTGTAAAGAGCCGAGCCAGTGTGTTTGCGAAGACTGGTGGAAGGTTATTCAGGTGTTCCGATCTTTTCCTGTTCGGACCTGGTGGTGTTCGATTTTTCACCGACGAAATGCCATATCGGATTTCGGAAGAGTGCACCGGTGGTACAACGTATCTATCCTCCTTCATTTCATACGACTGTAGGTGGGTGTGGCTATCGAAGACATCTGAATAGCACTTCTGACTGATTTTATGCATTGCCTTTCTGGACGCTGTAACTGTTCCGTCTCGGCGTAGGAGTGCAATCACCTTGGTCTTGTAATTGGTAAGCTTCGGTGGGCTTTGCGAATGCCCTTCCCAGCCTCTGCAGCTTCGGCCATTACTGCTGCTCTTCTCTCTCTAAGATATTCTTTTATCGCCTGTCTGTATTGTTTTGCAAGTTCGGACGTTAGCTCGCGGTTGCCTGCAGCTCGTGTGATTCCACGCTGGCGTATCAGCTCAAGTGTTTCTGGAGATGGACATCTCTTGATGACGTTCGATTTTTCTTCTTTCATAGCTCAACCATGAAAGTGTTGAATAAGCCGACCGTATTCCTCGTCGATGGAATCGGCAGCGACATCTTCGCAATAGCCGACTAGTGAATTGAACAAATCCTAGTTTACGGTGCTCCTGGGGCTTTGGTTTTGGATTTTGGCAGCTTTTCTCCTTTCTGCGAAAAATAGTATTTTGCACGAAGGAGACGATGGTCTGATCCAGTGTGGAATTTTGATACAACAGCGACACCCGTTTGGAAAAACCATCTATTTACTATGACGTGGTCTATTTCGTTATGGTGCTCTTTATTGGGAGACTCCCACTTCCAGCGCTGAGGGTAGGGCTTCTGGAATTGCGTGTGACCATAGATTGTCTTGGTCACCATGATAGATTCAGGTAACCGCTCACCCTGTCCGTTCCATTCTAATCCGTGGGTTTCAATGTGACTTCTTGGTCCAATCTTGGCGTTGAAATCACCAATGAAGACCTTGAAGAATGTGTGGTCTTCTCTGTAGAACTTCTTAACGCCATATAGAACGCTTCGACTTCTTTTTCGTCATAGTTTAATGTCGGCGCATAGACAACGAAAATTTTTAAAGTCAGAGTTAATCCACGTCTTGTTAATCGTAAACGTTCGATTTGGGTAGTAAGTTGTTCGAATGAAACGATGTTCATGGACAAACTCATGTTGACAAGAACGCCGACGCCGCCGACTCCTCTACTGTCTCATGCTCCTAGAAACAGTTCTTCTCCGGTGTCATAAACGGCGTTGAAGGGCTGGCGTCTTCTCGTCTTGGCTAGGTTAATGACGTCGTACATTATCCTTTTTACTTGCGCGATCAAGTCTTCTATCGAGAGCTCGGAAGCAAGTGTACCTGCATTGTAGGTACAGATGGTCACCATAGTTCCAGGCAGCTTCTATTGGCCCTGCAATTTTAGCAGCCTCTCCGTAGTCTTTCTACCCAACGCTGCAAAATTGCGGGCTCTTTCGGAGTCAGGGAAATGAGTCTCGTTTTTTTTTTTTACAGGGTTTAGCATTTTTGATACCCACGTGTAGCTTGCTGGACTCTGAACGCGGGGCCGGGTATACTCACTGGTAGCTTGCCAGTCTCTCCCAGAGTAGACATGGGCCTTATTTGTTGGAGGCGACTCCTAACGGCCTCCCATATACTTCTTTGTCACTTGGTTCCAACCTTTTGGCCGAATTGACTCGTAGAATGCAATCCGCATAATCAAGAACGAACTCACGCACGCATGCATGAATGCGTCTAGCAAATACAGAAAGTACGTGCAAATCAACGCAGCAGAAACAGTAGGTCCATCCCCTGAATCCATCTGCATCTCAAAAAAGCAAAGGTCGCTTTTGGTCCGCTATTAACCCCCTATCCGCCACCTGATGACGCGCCACGTAGCCTCACGACTGACCGGCTCGAGATCCCTCATATGAGGGAGACCCGTGGAAATTCCGATTGGATTGCCGAGAGTGACTTCTTTTCCAGACAAATCCGTAACCAACTTTTCGACCTCGGAGTGATGAGGTGCCTGGTTGGCCGGCCTGGTGCGGAGTCGAACTAGCACCATGGTCATGATGACAGACATCACTACCACTGTGCTATCCTCCTCCTCTCGAAGATATAGGTGAATAATTTTGGTGAGATGGTATCGCGTGACACCTCTTTTGACGTCGATTTAAATGTCGTTGCTCAGTGGTGATATCCTAGCTGCGAAGTTTTTATATGGCGCACTTACACGATGCCCTGGTTGTCTTCACGACCTTCATGAGTGCTTCTACCTCATAATAGTGAGCAGCTTTCTTTAAACAAGTGAGATAGACTGTCTCTGGTACTCTCACAATACCTCAGAAAAATTTGCCATCGCGCAGATGTGATCCATTGCAGTAGATCCTATTCGAAACACATGCTCCCACGGCTGTCAGCCTTCCAGTATTCGGTCTTGTCTGAGATAGCCTGAGTTAAAAATTTATAGGCGGCAGAGAGCACACATATTGCCTAGAAGTTGCCGATTTTGTGAAAGGCACCTTTTATAAAAAATAATACAGTCCTGTCGTTCTTAAACTGAATACGAACCTGGCATTCAACAGTTAACGTACGAAGAGTCGGTGTGGTGTGCTTATGAGAAAAGGCGTAAGGTTACTCACGTTTTCAGTTCTTATCCTGTCCCGTCCTGCTGCACGAATTTCGACCGACGAAATGGCATTTTGGATTTCAAAAGCAATAAACGAGTGAAATTTATTTACGATATTAGTCATTAAATTTTTACTTTCCTCTCATTACTGCAATCGTGCTGGATCGAGAGAAAAGAGTACCGCACTCGAATTATTAACCATTCTCATTGATTGCGGCCCCACATCAAGGATGACTTGAATAAAGCGTAATTGACACAAAAAAGGACTAATACTAAGCATCGGTAGTACATCAATATCCACACGTAGTGAGATGCTTTATTCCATCGGTGCTCCACTTCACTGTATTAGTCTCGGTGCGACAAAAACGGCTACATGGCGATGGCGACCACCAATGGACCACCAGCTGGAATCAATCCGACTTCGGAAAAGAGGAGACGTCGAAACGTTAGCCGAGTAAATTTTTCGTACCAGGTTTGTCTAATAATCGAAGAAAGTAGAAACCAATCAACTTTTCAAAGCTTTCAAACTCCGATTTTTTAAACACCAATAATTTATACGTCAACCACAACAACGCTTATGTGACATCCTCATGAGAGCATTGCTATGAAGGGAGAAATTCCTATGGAAAACATCTGACTAGAAACTTTTGCAAGTTGGAAGACTTAAGTTCTCGTATTCGTGCTTATTGAGCGTTTAAAGTCAGAGGTTTCCTAAATGGGTTCGCTTCCTTAAACAATCCTTCAATCGGATGAATGACGAAAAAGAGAAGCATCATCATGATGCCTTTTCGTTCTGCAACCTCTAACCGATGAAGATTTACTATAAACTAAAGCTGCTAAAATGAAGCAACACCCTCGTGTTAACTCATCAAAAATATATCGAGGAATGAATATTTCCGAATAGAGAGGAAAAAACTTCACAGCAAAGAGATTTTTTCATGCCAATTCATGAGCACTCAAATACCTCCGACAGGTGATTTTCGACTACGACGAAAATTATGGACCACAAAAATCGAAATTTGACGGAGATTGAAAGACTTAATAAATGAAGAAATGTGCTGAAATGAGCGTTCAGCGCAAATATGGCTTCATAGTTTATCACCTTTTTAAAGTTGATGCTGAAAAAAATTTACAGGTTTAATAGTTGTTGCAAACAATACATGGCTTAGCTCGAGTTAAGCTGACGGTCGCAGTTGCTTCTACGAACTGAGGTGCAAATGAACCCGCTGCCAATGATCGAAATACTCGGTCCACCGCGAGTTGTCACATCGCTCTTGAACAATTCGCAATGATGGTGGTATACACATAATTTTCTCCTTTCGAAATAGAAGTTATCTTTAAAAAGAGTCTTTCAAGCAGTGCTACTTCCATAGATTCTGTAGTGCACCGCGAAAATGAGATCGACATTCATTCCGGAGTTAAAATTACACACAACACTAGGATTTGCTATACCACATGCCGTCGTTATCGTACTACTAACGACGATGTACTGCGGCATGATCGCACCACGGAAAAAAGTGACTTCTTTATTCAAACCTTTGTTTTCATAAAATAGTCAGAAAGATAAGGAATTAGCTTTTATTGGTGTTTTCTTTTGTTTTCCCTATTTCTATAATTACACAATAAAGTGGTTTGGCCGAAAATAATGCGTGTTTTCTTTGGAACAACGATGAAAATTTTCTAGCAATGGTTTTCATCTCATCAGTTTTCCAACAATTTGCTCTAATAAAGGCGACATCCTTGACAAGGAAACGGCTAGCGCGGTGGTAGTACTTTCCTTCATAAAGGGCACGGTGTTGGCTCGAGTGCGCGCCAGGTTTA